ATCAAAATTGAATTATTATAGATATATCACGTAATCATTCGAAATAACTTATTTTATTTCTATTAGGGATTATCTTAATGCTACTTATGCGATATTTTTTTATTCTCAATTTATTGGTGACAATTTCAGTATGGAGTGGTTAATCATTAATTTCTTGTTCAACATTATCAAATTATTCAACAACTAATTGACAACAATATTATGGCAAGTTATGGGTATTAAGACTTCCACTTTTCTTTAATAAACATGTTCTATAATTTATCACTCTCACTGATTTCACCATTCTTAATAAATCTGACTTTATTAATACATATAATTCTCATATCATGGGTATGATAGTAAAACCTATAACCTTTAGATTTTTCTGGATAACCAATGAAATAATATTTGATCATTATAAAATTCAATTTCTTTTTAGATGTCTCAAACTCCAAGAGCATTCTTCTATAAAATAAGAGAAATGAGAAATCCCGTAATATAATTTTAAGTATTTTCACTATGTTGTTATTATGCCTATTAGTTATACCATTATGCTACGGCGTACAAGACTGTGTGTTGAGCACAAATACTATACTTTTTAAAGACTTTAACAAATAGACAAGATCATTATTCTTAACCATCATACCTTGCATAATATTCACCATCTATACGATCTAATGACTTTCATCTTCTATATAATTGTCTTTCAACATTAATAATATGTACCTTAATAACATTCTCTACTTAAAATTTTTATGTAGTATTTTGAGATAACTATAATGTGAAAAATCATTCATAAATATGATAAAATTCTTTATATAAATGTATGGATAAGTTTAAAAAGTTTTACACTTCTAGCATCCTTTTTGGTGTGTTTGATTCATTTTTTCTTAATAGAATCTATACACGTCAAAATCAATAAAATTCTAGATTGAAAACAATATCATATTTAACTTGTTTCTTCAACATTTCTCTAATTATGTGACCTAATTATTTATGTGACATGATAAAATAAATTTTCATTTATCGGACTATAGTAGGTTCTAAACATTATGATGTAGGGTTAAAAAAGATTCAAAAATAGGTTATCAGGTTTTAATTTGTACAAACTATTATAAAAAATATCATAATGCTAAAAGAAGTATTCTTAAACAAACTAACATTTTATTATCATATTTGAAAGGAATGTGATAATAATCATCATGAAGTTTAGATAAGAAAATCAAACTTCAAAATAGCATAAACATAAATTATTATATAAATAATTACTGATATATAGAAACAAATAAAAAGTCTCAACCATCTTAAGTTGGGCTTTGACCCGATTAACAATGAATATTAATTTATGATTTATTATTCTGGGTTAGAAAAAATCTCTATTATCAAATTTGAAACATTTGTAATAGCAAATTCAAGTCAATCCATAATGTGCTAGAAAAAATTTCATTAAGGTTTAATTCAAACTATACAAATACTTTAATGTTTATCTTTCTTTTTGAATCACTCCCTTCGTTTATGTCAATCATTTATTTATTTCTTTTATGAGCCTAATTAGCTAAGTAGGCTCTTGATCTTGGAATAGTGCCCTAAGTTGTTAAGTCTTCTTTCATCTTGAACAAACATAATATGAATACATTAACATGCTACTTATCATTAATAAAGGTTCAATATCAAGGGGCAAAAAGTTCAAAATAAATTACGTAAAAGAACTCATCTATCCCTAAAGTATTCAACTTAGTAGTTAGAATTATGAGGATATATTTATGCATCTCATATATGCTATCAAATTCCATAATGATAAGTTCAACCATCAGTGTCCAATAAGAAACTCATCAATAATTCAATAACATTCTTGCATAACTATATAACATTCATAAGCATTATCCATTTGCGAAAATACTAACTTAGTGTAGTACATAATTATTATTCGCATAAACACAATGCCTAGTTTATTCAATTCCTTATTGGCTTTGTGGAAAACCCTTTTCATTAGAACAACTTAATTCAGTAATAGCAGTTAAGTGTTAGACAAATAGTCAAAATATATAAGTAAAATTGAATTTGTTCACATTAATCTAAAAATATTCATTCCATTAAGTATCAAAATAGACAAAGTATGTGAATGTAACAATACATGAACTATCAATAAGAGAAAGTAAAGACTCACTACATTAATGCTTTGAGTCATCGATAAGTTTAACCATGAGTTAGAATAGATACATATTCTAAGAAGCAATAAGTAGTACTACCGTGACTTTCCTTTGGATAATAATCACGATATACTAATACATTAACCATTATGATGATTCTCTCTCACCTAATATAACTAATTGATAATATATTCATAATTAGGTAGGTATGTCACCTTTGGGCATCGGTTCCACACCCATTATGAATATACATCAATTATCCTATTCCAATTAATTAATCACTTAATAGGTGGTGCACTTTTGGACCGATTCATATTATTCAAATGATTAAGGAACTGCGATTTGCAAGTCACTATTTTAATATCTCAGTAACGAGTATTAAATAGCAATTATATGATTCAATATCTATTAGTCATTCTAGTTGGGCCACTTTGGCGGCTACCGAACTATATCATAATATAAACAGTAAATAAAAATAATGACATTGCACAAATGATTATTTAATATCACAATAATGAATATTAAAATCAATTATGTGATTTGATACCTATGAGTCATTCTAGTTAGGTCACTTTGGTGACTACTAAACTATATCACAATATAGAACTCAAATCGAAATAATGATATTGCATAAACTATTATTTTAATATCTCGGTAATGAATATTAAATTGCAATTAGTTAATTTGATATCTATGAGTCATTCTAATTGGGCCACTTTGGCAGCTACCAAACTATAACATAATATGAATACCAAATCAAAAAANATTGATCCTACAGGTTGGGCACCATGGGTTGGTACTTTTGGACTTGACACATGCTTTTATGCTGAGTTTAACAACAGAGGACCTGGTGCTGGCCTTGCGTCGAGAGTGACATGGAAGGGTATCAAGAAGATAACTCCACAAGAAGCTATGGGTTTCACTCCAGGACAGTACATTGAAGGAGATTCTTGGATTAAGCCCACTGGCATTCCTTATGATTCTGGCATGATGAAAGTGTAAAGGGGGGATGAGGATGTAATTTAATCTATACCCATTAATGAAATACGATTTGAATATAAATTATTAAGAAGATTTAGATTTTTTATATTATACTTTCAATTATTTTACACAATGGTATGTCACCCATTGTACATGAGTAAATGATCAATCAATGAGTGAAATTAATTAAAAGCGTAAGTGTTTTATACTATGATTAGATTTTTTTTCTTTTTTGATTTGTTACAAATTATGAATATGTAAAAGTATCAAAACTTAATGGGGAAAAATAAAAATTACACAAATCAAGGATAAAAATTTTAATTTTTGATATCTAAGAAGGGTCACGGCCCATTTAGGTCATGGTATAGTTTCGTCTCTAAACTAGGGAATGGGCAGAAAGAAAAAATCTTGATTCAAGTAAGGATAAATTACACGTTGGCTCCTTCTAGTAAGGACCTAGTTGCGATGTACCATCTAAAGTTTTAGATGAAATAAATTGCCTGACACATTTAATGAAAAGTTCAAAACTAATTTGTACCAAGAATCAAAATTTCATTTTAAAACAGTTAAAACGTTTTTATTTTCAAAGAGACTAAAATAAATCAATAATTAAATCGAATACCAATTATTTGAAGTGTTTTCAGAGTGTTTTAAGATATTTCTGTAAAATTTTATTTGACCAAAGAGATTAATCAAACCCTAATTTTAAGATCTAGAATAATTATAATTTTCACAGACTCATAATAATTATAATGCGGAATTAAAACATCTTAATCAACATACCTGAAGCCATAATCGTAAACCTAGAATTTTTTTTATCAAGAATTGAACATCCTTTGGTATAGTCCAAAAATTGGTTAGATTAGGATTGGTAACCTTATAATTATCTAACCCAAATTAATTTTTTGATAATAATCAGTAAAATCACATATGCCAAATCATGTGGATCACATTAATTCTTACATTCTTCCACTTGGCCTATGATTATCTTACAATTGGGCCTAGCAAAGTTTACATAAACGCACAATAAATCCAATCTATCATCACCTTAATTTGGTCATCATAATATCACAATTAAACAACCTATTAATGCAAGTCATGGCGGTTGTACATTATTAACGCGACATAGTTCCTTTCACGTACTACAACACTAGCAATATGTCTAACATGATCTATAATTGAGAAGTATATAAAATAAGATCCAACAATAATGCCTTGNCAATATGTCTAACATGATCTATAATTGAGAAGTATATAAAATAAGATCCAACAATAATGCCTTGCGTTGAAAGCTATTTTTGTTATCATTCATTCAATCTTATACACATACGTACACTAAAAAAACAAGAATTATTATAAACAGTTTAAATAAGAACTGAAAGTGTCAAATAAATAACTATTATGCAAAATTCACAACATTATGTAAATAAGACATTAGCTACAATCAATGCTCATTATGCTAACACGTTTCTTAAATGTCTTAATTAATCTTTTTCTTAATAGATTTGCAATCATGAGCTCCATGCTATTATGTTCTATAAAAACTTAGCAAAAAACACATATGCAAAATCATCACGATAAGTTCTCAACGACTTGGCCATAAAGACGACAACTCCAAGTTCTGAGATAAAATTTCGCAACTATAATTAATAAACTGTAGCCTGAAAGTAAGCCACAAATTTAACATTCATAATTGTCAATTACCACTAGATGATTAGACATTTTAAAAGTGAGTGTATAGTCATTCATACCTTGTGAACTCATAATGATCCATTTTTGGATCAGCTTGATATTTACTTAATATACTAACTGTAAAAATAATATCTAATATTATACACATAAATGTATACATAAANGGCTGAGCCGGCATTCATTGCCGCTAAAGGACAGTTCCAGTCCTACCTCGGACGGCCATGGAAGGAATTCTCGAGAACCATTGTCATGCAGTCTTTCATTGATAGCACCATTGATCCTACAGGTTGGGCACCATGGGTTGGTACTTTTGGACTTGACACATGCTTTTATGCTGAGTTTAACAACAGAGGACCTGGTGCTGGCCTTGCGTCGAGAGTGACATGGAAGGGTATCAAGAAGATAACTCCACAAGAAGCTATGGGTTTCACTCCAGGACAGTACATTGAAGGAGATTCTTGGATTAAGCCCACTGGCATTCCTTATGATTCTGGCATGATGAAAGTGTAAAGGGGGGATGAGGATGTAATTTAATCTATACCCATTAATGAAATACGATTTGAATATAAATTATTAAGAAGATTTAGATTTTTTATATTATACTTTCAATTATTTTACACAATGGTATGTCACCCATTGTACATGAGTAAATGATCAATCAATGAGTGAAATTAATTAAAAGCGTAAGTGTTTTATACTATGATTAGATTTTTTTTCTTTTTTGATTTGTTACAAATTATGAATATGTAAAAGTATCAAAACTTAATGGGGAAAAATAAAAATTACACAAATCAAGGATAAAAATTTTAATTTTTGATATCTAAGAAGGGTCACGGCCCATTTAGGTCATGGTATAGTTTCGTCTCTAAACTAGGGAATGGGCAGAAAGAAAAATTCTTGATTCAAGTAAGGATAAATTACACGTTGGCTCCTTCTAGTAAGGACCTAGTTGCGATGTACCATCTAAAGTTTTAGATGAAATAAATTGCCTGACACATTTAATGAAAAGTTCAAAACTAATTTGTACCAAGAATCAAAATTTCATTTTAAAACAGTTAAAACGTTTTTATTTTCAAAGAGACTAAAATAAATCAATAATTAAATCGAATACCAATTATTTGAAGTGTTTTCAGAGTGTTTTAAGATATTTCTGTAAAATTTTATTTGACCAAAGAGATTAATCAAACCCTAATTTTAAGATCTAGAATAATTATAATTTTCACAGACTCATAATAATTATAATGCGGAATTAAAACATCTTAATCAACATACCTGAAGCCATAATCGTAAACCTAGAATTTTTTTTATCAAGAATTGAACATCCTTTGGTATAGTCCAAAAATTGGTTAGATTAGGATTGGTAACCTTATAATTATCTAACCCAAATTAATTTTTTGATAATAATCAGTAAAATCACATATGCCAAATCATGTGGATCACATTAATTCTTACATTCTTCCACTTGGCCTATGATTATCTTACAATTGGGTCTAGCAAAGTTTACATAAACGCACAATAAATCCAATCTATCATCACCTTAATTTGGTCATCATAATATCACAATTAAACAACCTATTAATGCAAGTCATGGCGATTGTACATTATTAACGCGACATAGTTCCTTTCACGTACTACAACACTAGCAATATGTCTAACATGATCTATAATTGAGAAGTATATAAAATAAGATCCAACAATAATGCCTTGTGTTGAAAGCTATTTTTGTTATCATTCATTCAATCTTATACACATACGTACACTAAAAAAAAAAGAATTATTATAAACAGTTTAAAAAAGAACTGAAAGTGTCAAATAAATAACTATTATGCAAAATTCACAACATTAAGTGAATAAGACATTAGCTACAATCAATGCTCATTATGCTAACACGTTTCTTAAATGTCTTAATTAATCTTTTTCTTAATGGATTTGCAATCATGAGCTCCATGCTATTATGTTCTATAAAAACTTAGCAAAAAACACATGCAAAATCATCACGATAAGTTCTCAACGACTTGGCCATAAAGTCGACAACTCCAATTTCTGAGATAAAATTTCGCAATTATAATTAATAAACTGTAGCCTGAAAGTAAGCCACAAATTTAACATTCATAATTGTCAATTACTACTAGATGATTAGACATTTCAAAAGTAAGTGTATAGTCATTCATACCTTGTGAACTCATAATGATCCATTTTTGGATCAGCTTGATATTTACTTAATATACTAACTGTAAAAATAATATCTAATATTATACACATAAATGTATACATAAAACATCATGCAATAGAAACATAAGGAATCAATTTCATTATTTGTAAAAAAAAAAAATTCATTATTTGGATATTACATACTGCTAAACTTATTCTTTTTATTTAAATTGAAATAACATTAGCTAAATAGTTCTCCACATTAAATCTATCTAAAATTCTTCTTATATATTCTTTACTCAAATAATTTACGTGATCGATCCTGAGAAATTTAAATTTTAATCACATAAGTTGTCTCATTATATCTTTCAGTTAATATTTATAAAGAGAACCTTGGTTCCATGTAATAATCTAAGATAACTACTGACAAATAATACAACAACATTAATATATAGAGTTAAAAACTTACTCCTACTAACCTTAACATTTATATACACCAATAATGGTGCTTTCCTTAATACTGAAAGAAGTAATAGTATCTTTAAACTTAAAATACTAGGGTGGAAAAACTTTTTTATGTTTATATATTAACCTATTAAGTTTGCAAGCAAAGTGTTACTTCACTTATAAATGAGCCCTTCTTATATACATAATAGAAGGTTTCTATGTAATCAATACCACATTTATAAGTGAAACCTTTGGCCATAAGTTTGACTTCATATCTAACAGGATTTCAAACTTCATTTTGGTCCGTTGGTTTTAATTAATCATTCATGACATCAATCCAATTAGCATAGTCATTACTTCCTTTGACTTGTGAAAATGAAATTAAATCTTTATTTATCCCTAAATCAAAATTGAATTATTATAGATATATCACGTAATCATTCGAAATAACTTATTTTATTTCTATTAGGGATTATCTTAATGCTACTTATGCGATATTTTTTTATTCTCAATTTATTGGTGACAATTTCAGTATGGAGTGGTTAATCATTAATTTCTTGTTCAACATTATCAAATTATTCAACAACTAATTGACAACAATATTATGGCAAGTTATGGGTATTAAGACTTCCACTTTTCTTTAATAAACATGTTCTATAATTTATCACTCTCACTGATTTCACCATTCTTAATAAATCTGACTTTATTAATACATATAATTCTCATATCATGGGTATGATAGTAAAACCTATAACCTTTAGATTTTTCTGGATAACCAATGAAATAATATTTGATCATTATAAAATTCAATTTCTTTTTAGATGTCTCAAACTCCAAGAGCATTCTTCTATAAAATAAGAGAAATGAGAAATCCCGTAATATAATTTTAAGTATTTTCACTATGTTGTTATTATGCCTATTAGTTATACCATTATGCTACGGCGTACAAGACTGTGTGTTGAGCACAAATACTATACTTTTTAAAGACTTTAACAAATAGACAAGATCATTATTCTTAACCATCATACCTTGCATAATATTCACCATCTATACGATCTAATGACTTTCATCTTCTATATAATTGTCTTTCAACATTAATAATATGTACCTTAATAACATTCTCTACTTAAAATTTTTATGTAGTATTTTGAGATAACTATAATGTGAAAAATCATTCATAAATATGATAAAATTCTTTATATAAATGTATGGATAAGTTTAAAAAGTTTTACACTTCTAGCATCATTTTTGGTGTGTTTGATTCATTTTTTCTTAATAGAATCTATACACGTCAAAATCAATAAAATTCTAGATTGAAAACAATATCATATTTAACTTGTTTCTTCAACATTTCTCTAATTATGTGACCTAATTATTTATGTGACATGATAAAATAAATTTTCATTTATCGGACTATAGTAGGTTCTAAACATTATGATGTAGGGTTAAAAAAGATTCAAAAATAGGTTATCAGGTTTTAATTTGTACAAACTATTATAAAAAATATCATAATGCTAAAAGAAGTATTCTTAAACAAACTAACATTTTATTATCATATTTGAAAGGAATGTGATAATAATCATCATGAAGTTTAGATAAGAAAATCAAACTTCAAAATAGCAGAAACATAAATTATTATATAAATAATTACTGATATATAGAAACAAATAAAAAGTCTCAACCATCTTAAGTTGGGCTTTGACCCGATTAACAATGAATATTAATTTATGATTTATCATTCTGGGTTAGAAAAAATCTCTATTATCAAATTTGAAACATTTGTAATAGCAAATTCAAGTCAATCCATAATGTGCTAGAAGNTGATATCTATGAGTCATTCTAATTGGGCCACTTTGGCAGCTACCAAACTATAACATAATATGAATACCAAATCAAAAAATGACTTTAAATATATCATAAGATTAACAATAATCAATTGTAAACTATTCATCATTATTATACACAAGATCATACGTTAGACGTAAATAGATCAATCAATATATAAAATTTTGTGCTTCAATAAATCATAAAATTTTATACATCATACATAATATCATGGATAAATTATAATATTGATGGTACAGACTAACGTAGGTGAACAGAGTGCGTGAGACCAAAGGTGAATCTAGGTTGCCCACTTCGTAATGACAATGATGAAGTGTTTTTTAGGGGATAGAGGAATTTGAACAGTAGGAATATAGTGGTTCACCGGCTCTGGAGCTCGGCTAATCCACTCTCTATTAGAGACTCTTGCTCCTTTTTTCTCTATTGATTACTCGAATGTATCACAATACAATGCATGATCTAATTAGGGTTTTTCTAGGGTCCTCTTCTCTCGATGATGTGTTACATAGTATTTATAAGGCTGCTCCCTATTATGTGGAATTTCAGCCGAGATCTTTGTCAATTATTCATGGGATCCTCCTTGATTTTAAGAGAGAATCTTGGTTGGTTGAGAGTTTCATGCATCGGGCTCAATTTCCTTAGTCATCCAGTTGTTTTTTGGTCAATTCTGCTACGATCTCCCCAAGGGGAGCTCTACCCCTGGTTCTCTGAGTTCTCCGTGTCTTTCCTGACCTCCTAACCTGACCTCCTTTCCTGAGCTCACAGTTAGGGCTTGTCTGAGGTATCATCAGTTGCCCCCCAACCCCTGGTTCAAACAGGCTTGGGCAGGGGTTGAGCTATTTTTTAAATTGAGCTGGATCTGCACGTCGCTGACCTTGGCTTGCACGTGGGTGAGACTTTTTTGATGGTTTTCAGCAATCATGGCTTTCTCGTTTTTTGTGCACGTTCCAGCCCACGTCTCTCAAGCTTTAAATGCTCAAACTACAATCTGAACTGCCCTTTTTCACTGTTTAACTTATTTGCTTCTTCTCTCTTCTTGTGATTTCTTGGCTTTCTGGTTTGGAGTT